TCAAACAGCAGCATGCTCTTGGTTTCAGCAGGGGGCAGTAGTTTGGCCTCACTCTCTGGGGCCAGGTACTCCAGGTGGTGCCTGCCCCAGACTGGGGTAGTTAGGTGCTGCCATCGCTGCACACAGGACAAAGACAAGGACACGAAGGTTGACGGCAGGAAGGTACAAAAAACAGTACGTCTGTGTGGCGCCACCTGTGGCAGCTTCATGAATATATTCCAGATTAATTCATCATTATTTTCACAGGGTGGCCATATTAACCAGGTCGTTATTGATGACTGTAACAGGACGTAGTCCACACGTGTGTGTGCACGTGCACGTGGAGCCACTCACCTCCCTCAAAGATCCTTTGCAGCGCAGTAGTTTGTAGATGGCAGTGACGGGGATACAGAGCATGGAGGACAGAGCCAGGGCCCAGCCAAGGGCCTCGCCCCACAGAGGGTAGGTGTAGACGGTGTTGTAGGTCAGGGGCTTGTAGTTCACCACGTGGAACATGAACACTCCCTGAAGAACCAGAAAACACAAGAGACATGAAGACCTCCAGAAACAAACAGAACCAGGACCAGGACCAGGACCAGGACCAGGACTAGACCCACCACACAGACTATAGGTGTGATGTAGGACCAGCACCACTTCATGTAAGGGAGGGGCTGGTAGCCAATCATACGAGCCACGTCGTCCATGAAGCGATCAGCGCCTGCAGGGATAACAGTCATGGTTAGTGTGTGTCTGTGTGTGTGTGTGCACGTGTGTGTGTGTGTGTGTTCTCACCGTCAACCCATGCAATCACCACACACTCCCAGAAGGCCTGCCACAGGAGGGTGATGCCACTGGCCGAGTAGTAGTCGAACAACTGGAAGACATACATCCCCCCCTGACAGAGGGAGAGAGAGAGGGGAGGGAGGGGGGGGGGCATTTTATAAAGTTTCACTGTAACCTGAGGGGGGTGGTAGAGAGACACACACACAGAGAACGAGAGAGGAAGTTCATCTGAAGTTCCTGGAGGAGGAGCTGTTTGTTGTGACTCGTCACAGAACCCTGTGGTTCTCCTTTTTGGTTTTTATTCAAAAAACAGACGACGTGACGCCTGACCACACTACCCCCCCACCCCACACACACACATACCACTGTTGTTTTACTGACCACATATATGATGGTGTCAGCTGACCTCTGGTCTGACCTCAGAGGCGGGGTCATGCTCAGGTCAGTCCGTCTGAACTCCTAATAATCACCTTTCATTTTCTTTTCATTTGTTGTGTTAAATGCGCTGACCGCTCAGTGACCCGTGTGCTGCGTTAACGACCTCGTACCTCTGTGACCATGGACATGTCGATGAGGAAGCAGATGACGCAGCAGATGGCTGCCACCACCTCTCGGCGCAGAGAGCGAACTGATTTAGCAGGAATCATGTCCATGATTCCCGTGATCAAACCCTCCACTCCTACAAACTGACGAGAGAGAGGAGTGTGAGAAGGAGACAGCGCCACCTACAGGAAACAACAGCAGAGGAATGTAGGGGGAAAAAAAACAACAGTCCTGACCCATACCTGGCTGTCCAGGCCCAGAATGAGCAGCATGAAGAAGAACAGCGCCGCCCAGAGGGGAGCCAGGGGCATCAGAGTCACGGCCTTGGGGTAAGCGATGAAGGCCAAGCCTGGACCTGCGGAGTAGAGACAGAGGCAGCACCAAGGCTGAGAACCACAGCTTGGACTTCACCGTATCATCCAACTTTAACCAGGTGGGGGTGTAGACGAACTCCTACCGCTCTCTGCCACCTTGCTGATGTCCACTCCCTGCTCTGCTGCCATGAAGCCCAGAACAGAGAAGACCACGAAGCCTGCAAAGAAGCTGGTTCCACTGTTGATGAGAGCCAGGACGAAGGCGTCCCTGCAGAGAGGAGCGACTCAGACGTCAGCCTCACACTTCAGTATATTTGTACCAGTTAGTAATACTAGTTGTACTTTTATATAAATGCATCACCTGATGTTCCAATAACTTTGTCGTTGAACAAGTTCTACGACGGTTCCTGGGTTCTGTACAGAACTGTGTCCAAGTTCAGGAGCAGAACCAGGAACCTGGTCTCGTCAACACTGAGCTCCACAAGGTACTGAGTTTAAAAAAATATTTTTTTATAAACCATCAACCACGAAATGGGGGGGGGGGCCCCCCCCCCCCCCCCCCCCATCACAGCTTCAGGGACTAGAAACCACATTTAAAAACACTTCAATTCATAAACACATTGTCCTGAAACAAAGTTGTAGACTAAAACTACAGTACTGACTGTAGACTGCAGTACTGACTGTAGACTGCAGTACTGACTGTAGACT